TGGCTTTTTAGCCAAGAGATAAGATTTCAGTTTATTCAAATCTTCATGGTATCAGAGCCGACTCTAAAAAAAAAAAATAAAAATAAAAAATCTATCATGGCCGCTGAGAAGACCTCGTCTTCGGAAATCATCCCGAGTTCTGTCAACCTTCCAGGAGCCATCGATGGGTCGTCGTTCTCCATCACTGGCCACAAATTAAATGGCCAGAATTATTTACAATGGTCTCAATCTGTTCTAATAATTATATCCGGCAAAGGAAGAGATGAGTATCTCACCGGAGAAACAGCCCAGCCAAAGAAGGAAGAGCCCACTTACCGAGCATGGAAGACCGGAAATAATCAAATCATGTCATGGCTTCTTAACTCCATGACCAATGAAATAGGTGGAAATTTTCTCCTGTACGAAATGGCTGCAGAAATCTGGGAAGCAGCGAAGGAGGTGTATTCACATGTGGAAAACACTTTGGAGTTATTCGACATTGAGTGTCTCCTCCATGATCAGCGACAAGAAGACCTCACTGTCACATAATATTTCAGTATGCTCAACCACCATTGGCAGCAAGCCAGCAACTAGATCTGTTTGAAGGACACAAGTGGAAGTGTCCGGATGATGCATCCTACCACAAGAAACTTGTTGAGCAGAAACGTTTATACAAGTTCTTGATCGGACTCAACAAAAATTTTAATGATGTATGTGGAAGAATCCTTTCCACGAAACCAGTGCCAAGTCTCCGAGAAGCCTTCGCTGAAGTAAAACACGAAGAGGGCCGAAAAAAGGTCATGATGGGGAAACAAAATGCATTCCACAACTTTGAAACTTCAGCCTTCATTACTCAAGGCAGATAGCCTTCCTTCGGCAATGGAAAATACAAAAAGGAGAGACCTAAATGTGACCACTGACACAAAATCGGCCACACAAAAGATAAGTGTTGGGACTTACATGGTAGGCTTGTTGATGCAAGGACAGGAAATCGCAAGGAAAGCAAGGGAAACTCAACCGTCTCCGATGGAAAACTAGATACAATTGGAGCCTCCCTCTTCAGCAAGGAGCAACTGGAATTGCTTCAACAGCTCTTTGCATAGCAACAAAACAACCTGCATTCATCCCTAATAGCCATCGGATTTGTGGCCCACAAAGGTACACTCACTCACGCCCTAAATGCTAAACGGAAAAATCCAAGTGTGTGGATAGTTGACTCCGGGGCCTCTGACCATATCACTGGCAATCCACAGCTATTTATTGATCTCAATCCATGCATGGAGGGATAGCAAGTTCGAATTGCTGATGGAACACATTCACAAGTGGCCGAAATGGAACATTGAAGTTATCCAAAGATTTGATACTTCAATCGGTGTTATTTGTTCCAAAATTGGATTGCAATTTATTATCTGTCAGTGAAGTTACACGTGATTATAAGTGTGTCACTAAATTTTTCAACAATCTTTGTGAATTTCAGGATATGGAAACCTAGAGGACGATTGGCAGTGTTAGGGAGTGTTTGGGGTTGTATTTGATCACAAGCAGCAACAACTCTCCAAGTGGACAAGCTTTACAAGTAGGTAGTCTAGGTTTTCCGAGTTCATTGTTCAATGTTTCCATTCTTTGTCTAAATAATGAAGCCGTACTTTGGCATTTTCGATTAGGTCATCCCAATTTTATGTATCTTGAAAAGTTATTCCCATTATTGTTTAAGAATAAAAGTCTAAGTTTATTCTAATGTGAAATTTGTCAATTCTCAAAACACACTCGGTGTTTTTTCCAAGACAATCATATAAACCCTATCATCCATTTGCAATGTTTCATAGTAATGTATGGGGACCGTCTAGTGTCAAACACATTTCTGGATTTTAATGGTTTGTATCTTTTATTGATGATCATACCCGATTGACTTGGGGTATTTCTCCTAAAAGAAAAATCAGAAGTTAGCTTAGTTTTTAAGAACTTTAATATCATGATTCAAAACCAATTTCAAACAAAAATCCAAATTCTCAGAACTGACAATGCTAAGGAGTATTTCAAACATGTTTTGGGAGACTACCTATTGAGTCAAGGGATTATTCATCAAAGTTCATGTGTCGATACTTCACAGCAAAATGGTATTGCCGAGCAAAAAAATAGACACCTCCTTGAAGTTGCACGATCCTTAATGTTTTCGACCAATGTTCCAAAACACTTCTGGGGGGATGCCATTCTCATTGCCACATTCTTGATAAATTGGATGCCATCTCGTGTTCTCAAATTTCAAACTCTATTCCAAATTCGCCTAAAATATTTTCCTTCCGCTCAAATTTTGTCCACAATACCCCTCAAAGTGTTCGGTTGCACCTCATTTGTTCATGGTCACCATCACAATCGTGGGAAACTTGATCCTGAGGCTATCAAATGTATCTTTTTGGGATATTCTCCACATCAAAAGGGATACAAGTGTTATTCTCCTATCACTAAACGATACTATCACTCCATGGATATTTCATTCTTTGAGAATCAACCTTATTATCCCAGTACCACCATTCAGGGGGAGAGTGAATATGAAAAGGAATATTTGTCTTGGGATATTGAGTCTTCACAAATCCACTCGGTCCCTAGGTTTGACAATAACGCACTGGAAGCCAAAGTCCAAAGTGTCAATCCCACTCCTCCTATATCCTCACCTAATCCCCAGTCGTCAGATTTAGCTACAAGCAAAGAGCTATATGTCTACTCTAGGAGAGAAAGGGCTCAACATCAATATCAGGGAGAACCTCAAACACTACCTGAACACAATCAACAGTCCAATCCGAATCCAAGGAATGAAGGTAACACCGATTCTGAAATTTCTAGCGAACCTTGTCAGGATGATTTGAGTTGGCCCATTGCACTAAGAAAATGAGTAAGATCATGCACTCGACACCCACTTCATAACTATATGTCTTACTCAGGTCTTTCACAGAAATTTCGTGCTTTTGTTACTAGTTTGGATGCTATCCAAGTCCCTACTAGCATCCAAGAAGCTCTCAAAGATCCATTGTGGAAGGCAGTTGTTTTTTATGAAATTCAAGCACTAGAGAATAATCAAACATGGGAAGTCACTGATCTACCTTCACAGAAGAATCCAGTGGGATGCAAATGGATTTTCACTGTGAAATACAAAGAGGATGAGAGTATTGACAGATACAAAGCTCGGCTCGTTGCAAAAGGATTTACTCAGTCTTACGATATTGATTACCAAGAGACATTTGCTCATGTTGCCAAACTCAACACTATAAGAATTCTGCTGTCTCTAGCTGCTAACCTAGACTGTCCCTTATTTCAGTTAGATGTGAAGATTGCATTCCTAAACGGAGACCTGCCAGAAGAAGTGTATATAAAGATTCCCCCAGGCTTCGAAAATCAAGCCACACAAAGCAAAGTCTGCAAACTAGAAAGATCTCTCTATGGACTTAAACAATCACCGAGGGCATGGTTCGACAGATTTACAAATGTGGTAAAACTTCATGGCTATTCTCAGTGCCAAGCTGATCTTACCTTGCTCGGAAAAGATCACTAGAAGGTAAAATGTCCGTCCTAATAGTGTACGTGGATGATATAATAGTTACAGGTGATTTCACAGATGAGATGGTTGAGCTAAAGAAGACTCTTGCTAACCAATTTGAGATTAAAGATCTAGGAAATCTCAAGTATTTCCTCGGAATGGAAGTGACAAGATCAAGTACAGGAATCTCTGTTTCACAAAGAAAGTATGTCTTAGATTTACTCAACGAGTGTGGAATGCTAAGATGCAAACCAGTGGACACTCCTATGGTGAATATTAAAAGGTTTAAAATGGCAGAGATGGGTGTTCTAGTGGATATCAGAGGTTAGTAGGCAGACTCATCTACCTCTCACATTCTCGCCCAGACATTAGTTTTTCAGTTAGTGTTGTAAGTCAATTCATGAATGACTCAAGAGAAGAACACATGGAAGCGGTCAACTGGATCCTGAGATACTTGAATTTAACCCTTGGTAAAGGGTTATTCTTCAACAAAGGCTCCAGCCGAGAGGTGCAAATTTACAGTGATGCTGATTGGGCAGGTTCGGTTACAGACCGAAGATCTACATTTGGTTATTGTACCTATGTGAGGGAAATCTAGTCACCTGGAGGAGCAAGAAACAATCGGTGGTATCAAGAAGCAGCGCTGAATCCGAGGTTTGAGCTATGGCTCAAGGCATATGTGAAGGAAAGTGGATTAGAAGACTTCTTGAAGAACTCAAAGTAGCATTCAAGGAACCTATGAAGCTTTTTTGTGAGAATCAATCAGCCATCAGCATATTTAAAAACCCGATTCTTCATGACAAAACTAAACACGTGGAGATTGATCGTCACTTTGTTAAAGAGAAGATTGAAGACAATGTCATCAAACTTAACTACACACCAGCCAACTCCCAAGTTGCAGACATACTTACTAAGGCTCTACCTTGGAAAGGATTCGAAGACTTTAGTTCCAAGCTTGGGATGAAAAATATCTTCAGTCCAGCTTGAGGGGGAGTGTGGAAATAGGAGCTGTATTAGCAATTATTTCCTTATTTCAGTCATAATTAAATCTAATTTGGTTATGATTGATTGATTGTATATTTAGATAGGAGGTAAATTAGTATGATTGATTGGTTGTATATTTAGATAGGATGTAAATTAGTTATTTCCTTATTTGTAGAGATCTACTTGTGTACATAAACATGGCTTTTTAGCCAAGAGAAATAAGATTTCAGTTTATTCAAATCTTCAGTTATTGTACTTTCATACAGGCAAGAGTAAATTCTGTTTTTCTGCTCTATGATTTTATTCTTATATATAAATGAACAGGTTTTGTAAGGATCCTAGATGTATGATCATCTGTGGTAAATTTGATGCCTTAATGGGTAACTATTTTGTTGATCTCGATACTGTCTTGTTTTCTAGATTTGCTTCTATTTTATTTTCTACAATTTTTTGATCTATTACTATATTTAGTTCTCAGCTGGGCCTCTCACCAATTTGCATTGTTTCAGTCGTCATTCTTGTCCCAACCAGAGAATTGGCTCTTCAGACGTCGCAAGTATGTAAAGAACTTGGGAAGCACTTAAAAATTCAGGTCATGGTTTCTACAGGTGGAACTAGCTTAAAAGATGACATAATGCGTCTTTATCAACCAGTTCATTTACTTGTCGGAACTCCTGGAAGAATCCTTGATCTTGCGAAAAAGGGCGTGTGCGTTTTGAAAGATTGCTCTATGCTTGTAATGGATGAGGTACGGAGATGTGTTTTTGTCTCCACTTTTACCTTTCAGTAGAGATAGTATCGGGGTGCAATTTTTTATTTTTATTTTTGGATGTATGAAGCAAACGGCAGGGTGTTAAATTTGGATAACAGTCATGGTGATCTTTTAGAATTTT